AAGAAGTTATGATGCAAACAAAAGCCTACTGACAAAGACTTGAATAGGACTGTGCAAGACGATGGGCACCAGAGTTTGATCCTGAGCTCTCAGAAATCAGCACACAGTAATAGAACTGGTTTGACACTTCCCCACCTTCGCAATAAAAGTTTGTGTGAAGAAGCTTGTGCTGAGTGGTCTGATGGTTAGCTGTGCTAATAGTGCACTGGAGTGTGCAAGAAGGGAAAAAAAGTATTTTGGGGCATTTCAGAGTAAAAATAAATAACAGGCAGCACAGTGGCTAAATGGTTAGCACTTCCACCTGGCAGTACTAGGGTGGTGGTTTGAATCCCAACACGGTACCACCTGCCTGGAGTTTGCATGTTCTCCTTGTGCCTGCATGGGTTTCCTTTGGGTACTCCGGTATCCTCCCACATTCCAAAGAAATGCTGGTAGGTTAATTGGATCCTGTCTAAATTGGCCCTAGTATATGAATGTGAGCTAGGGACCTTAGAGTGTACACCCCTTTAGGGACTGATGTGAATGTACAATATATATATATATATATGTAAAGTGCTGTTTAAATTTACGGCACTATATAGACGTACCTGAAATAAATAACAAATCATAACATGTAAGGAACAGGTCCATCTAGATATAAAAAGGTGTGAGACCTCAATTAGACTTAACCTCCCTGGCGGTATTCCCGAGTGTAGCTCGGAGTAAAATTTCAGTACCAAAAGCGGTATCCCTGAGCTACACTCGGGCTTACCATGCGGCATTGCTCAGGGATTCCCTGCAGTGCTTACCTTGTCCTTCGCTCCCGCAATGTGTCCCCGGCCATCTCCTCCGGTCGATGCTGCTTTCATGTTCCGGCCCCTGCGAGCGTCGGGACGTACGGGGGCCGGAACCGGCAGGAAAATTTAAAAATTTTAGAAACTGTCATTTTCTAATAAACGAATATGACATAGTAAAACATTACTGTTTCAAAGCATTTCACATACATTTTGTCCCTAGTGCTTTGTCCTGTGCCCTGCCTACATTTTGACTGTTCTTTCTGCCTGGAAACTTAGAAAAGTCCATGGCATCCAAAAAGCGTTGCTTTAGGTCAAAAGCGGTTTTAGACCAGATAGAGAACAGCGATAGTAAATCAGAACCACTTGCAGAATTGAGTGATAATGATTCGTGGGGAAATTCGTCATCAGACACTGAAAACGATTCTGCGACTTTGCTTAGTGATGTGCGAACTTGGCGCTATATTTCAAATTTCAGTGTTTTTGGTTTGATTATATCATTGAATTAAATGTATTATTATATTATATTTTTTATGATTATGTATTAAATTATAATTTATGATTTTGTGTTTCAAGTATTTATCCTACCCAGAATGTTTACTAGACTTTTGTTCGGACAGATTTCAGTGAGTTATTCCTAAAAATGACAGGCCTACATTATAAAACGCCAAATTTCCATACAAAATAATGGTACCACTTTCAGCACCAAAAATCTGAAATAATCATACCGCCAGGGAGGTTAAACAAATTTATGTTTACAAATTTTCCAACAATGGTTAGCTTTAAGGCCCAGTTCACACTACAAAAATGCACTCCGGATGCATTCCGAATATGTTTTTGCTTACAGTTCACACCACACGCAGTTCACACCACACGCAGTTCTGGTGCAGTTATGACGCAGTTTGCCATGTTCCAGTATGGTTCTGTGCAGAAAAAATGCAGCATGATCTACTTTTTTTTCTGCACCAGAAGCTGACTGGAACGGACTGCACTAGTGTGAACCAGGACCATTGGAATACATGGAATACACTGTGCATGCATTTTTGATGCAGAAAAAAAGCACACTGAACTGCATCTAGTGTGAACTAGCCCTAAATGTTACAGAAATGCTAGGATTTCAAGCATCTAGCCACTGCTAGACCAGCGACCAGAGCAGACCCATAATTCATTCTACAGATATCTACTCCAGGATTCCTCTTCTTAGTCCAGCTTATTCCCAACCTCTCAGCTACACAAGCCCTGATAAGGAAGATATTGGTAAAGCCTCCACAATGCATTGGATATTGTTTTTATTCTCAAGATGAATACAATTTGAACTGGACTATCAACCATGTGTCCAACGCTCTATTCATTCTACTAAACTTTCTATTGTCATATCTGGGACCTATTCTTGGGACCCATCAGATTTTAGAGACCAACTTCTTAACTAAAATATCAAAAGATCTAAATGTCTACTAGGATCCTGAACCAGCACACCACCAACATATAGGCTAGGATGCAAAGTATCCATCTAAATATCCAATACATTTGTATTTTTCATAGGCAAAGTTCCACTTATAGATCTGTCAAGCAGCATGCTTTATGCCATTGTAAAGGTTGTGGTGATGTGATGATAAATGCCTTTTGCCACCCTGTCTTTTGTATAGCTCAGTTGTTCCCCAGAGTTAAAGTACCGTACCTAGGGACCTCTGTCTACTTAACCAAAACAAGAAAGTAAATATAGTACTTTTAAGGTACAGACCATATAAACCAAATATCTTACTGGTGAAAGTGTTTACACTTTTAATAGTAAGATATTTGGCTTATATGGTATGTACCTTAAAAGTCTCTTATTAAGGCTGCCCAGAGAGCGGTCCTTTTTTTTTTTTCCAATCAGCCAGTTGACCTATTGAAAATAAATAAACAAATTCCCCCATTCACACAAGTGAGATGGATGCACCCATTGTGCTATTGCATTCTGACAGCAGTGAGACTTCCCTACCATCAGAATACAGTGATCAGTGCTGCTGCAGATCGAATGAAAGGTTTCCAACATTCCCATTTGACAGAAGTCATTTTAGCGATTAACTTCTGTGGAGTGGAAGCAGCATGGTCCCTGCTTCCCTTGCCAAATTTCAATCCTTCTATGGCCAGCTTTACTTTCTTGTTTTAGTAATCAAATATTAGGGATGCGGTACATTGATTACGACATCTGGTATCCATATTTTCAAACCCTGTCCACTTTACTCATCTTGTAAATTCTGCTTTCCAAAGTAATTTTGTGCTTCCTGTTAACTCTACAGATATAATCCATTGTGCATTTGTTTTCTTTTAGAAAGGACAGTGGGAATACAACATCTGCAACAGTGAAGTAGCTTCTCAGGTCTTGGGTTTAACAGTGAATTCTCAAGCTTCTGATCCAAACGTTCCACCAATTGTTGTTGAGCCATATATGAGTTCAGATACAAGCAGTTTCCCCAATCCAGTGATTGTGTATGCAGCAGTAACGCAAGGGTTTTCCCCAGTTTTGGGGCTTAAAGTTACTGCTATAATAGAACCAGAGAATGGAAAAATAATAACCTTGCAACTTTTAGATAATGGTGCAGGTAACTGTCTTTTTCTACAATTATATTTCTACTTTTTATGTAAAGGAGCTACAGAAATTTAAGGCATTGTTGTTTCAACCCACATGTTGATGAATATGGCACGTTAATTTAGGTGCCAGAGCCTGGGAGTAGATATGTGCAATTCGTTTTGTTATGAATAGAAATTCAGATAAAATTTTCGTTATTCAGATATTAGAATATATCCAAATTTCTGAATAACAATAGTAGCGAATTTGAAGGCATCCAGAATAAATGATAGCAAAATGAATTATCTGAATTTGAAAATGAATTCAAATTTGAAATGGAAATATATTGCAATAAATACAATAATGTATAAAAGTGAAATAAGATACTGATTCCTACTTAGGCTACTTTACACAGTAGAATAGAAAAGAAAAGAACAGAAAAATAAAAGGATAGAACAGACTAGAATAAAATAGAATAGAATAAAAGAGAGTAGAATAGAAAATAAAGTAATAGAATAAAATAAAACAGAACAGAAAAGAATAGAATAAAACAGAATAGAAAAGAATATAATAAAATAGAATAGAAAATAAATTAATAGAATGGGATAAAACAGAATAGAATGGAGAATAAAAGAATAGAATTGATTAGAGAAATGAATTAAACAGAAACAAATATAGCTGTCTTCCCAAATTTGAATTCCGAATCAATTTGAAAATAACGAATATAGAAAATGAATTCCAAAAATGAATTATTCTAACATAATGAATATGATGAAACTAAATTATTCCAATGAAACAAATTTTTCCATTCTGTGCACATCTGTACCTGGGACTGGTAATTTTTAGTACAGTGATTTGAGAACTGAGCAGAAGTTAATATTTTACAGTTCCATAGTTTCCCAACTCTATGGCACCTTTTACATTTCCCCTGGCCTAAAATCTTAACTTTTTAACACCTGAAACAACACCCTTAGCCGAACCCGGGAACAAAAACTAAGAGCCACAAAGGATATAAATCCACTTTGTGTGCACCAAATGCCTTTACAAACCCAGTTTTTTAACTAGCAAATGTACAGAAAGCAGGGCTGTGTGAGGGTCCTAAATTGCCCACCTACTATAGGCTGCCTGCAGAAAAATACAGGAGGGGGCAGATGCAAGACCAGTCACTCTGCACAAGGAGAGAGCAACAATGACTGGTCTTAGCTACAGGAAGCTCCTGCACAGAGGCAAAGTTTTTCACCAGAAGAAATACACAAAGTACACCAAGATTCAACTGGAAATACACAGCTTTCATTTAGAAAATATTTGCTTATCCCTGAGTTCCGCTTTAGGCTTTTTCCTCTTATTTGTACTTGCTGATCTCGCCAGTAAATCTTTTATTTTTCAACTCTCATTAACAGACCAAGCAGTGCAGTAAAAGTGTCAGTTAGAAGTTGGGGCAAACCATTTAGCACTGATAGGGGCGCTAACAATACCCTGTCTAAAAGTTAAAAATGCTGCTGTTGAAGGGTGTCTACACTGCTCCTCCATAGATACAGCAGAGGAGTGATTGTAGCCACTCTAAAACAGGTAATGATTTACTGGCAGGAGAAAATACAGGAAAAGAAGCCTCCACTTAGGACTCGCAAGCTGCAATACTGTATATTTTATTTTTGTTTTTAGGTTTAGATACGTTTTAACCTCCCTGGAGGTATTCCCGAGTGTAGCTCGGGGTAAAGGTTCAGCACCACAAGCGGTAACCCCGAGCTACACTCGGGAATACCTTGCAGCGTTGCTCTGGGATCTCTTCTTCACTTACTTTGTCCTTCGCTCCCGCGATGTCCCCCCTGCAGTGTCCTCCGATGCCGGCATCTGTCTTCTGGGTTCCGTTCCCTGCGACGTCAGGACGTATGGGGATGGAACGGCGGGAAATTTAAAAATGTGAAAAAGTGACATTCACTAAATACACTAAAATCACATAGTAAAACATTACTGTATCAAACCATTTCACATACATTTTGTCCCTAGTGCTTTGTCCTGTGCCCTGCCTGCATTTTTACTGTTCTTTCTGCCTGGAAACTGGGAAATGTCCATGGCGTCCAAAAAGCGTCCCTTTAGGTCAAAAGCGGTTTTAGACCAGCTAGAGAACAGCGATAGTAAATTAGAACTACTTGCAGAATTGAATGATAATGATTCGTGGGGAAATTCGTCATCACACTGAAAACGATTTTGCGACTATGCTCAGTGATGTGCAAACTTGGCGCTATATTTCAAATTTCAGTGTTTTTGGTTTGATTACATTATTGAATTAAATTTATTATTATTTTTTATGATTATTTATTAAATTATAATTTATGATTTCGTGTTTAAAATTTTAACATACCTGGGATGTTTACTAGACTCTTGTTCAGACAGATTTCAGTGAGTTATTCCTAAAAATTACAGGCCTACAATAAAAAAAATACACATTTCCATGCAAAAAAAATTTACCGCTTTGAGCACAGAAATACTGACATAATCAGACCGCTAGGGAGGCTACAGTATAAATTTGAACAAACATGTAAAAGTTCACAAAATATAAAATCATATATAGAAGATGCATTAAACAGTTCATTTCTCAACCAGTCTTTATTATTTAGCTTTGTTTCCATTCATAGTTGTATTAACATATATGCAGTCTTTTCTCCAGTGTCAGCATCTCAAATGCCGAAACAGGGTCTTGACACTGGGTGACATATTAGGTTTTTTGATCTATACATCAGGTTCTCACAACAACAGGGATCCAACCTCACTAAACCAACCAACCAGCAGCAGCTCTGTAGACGCACAGAATATGGCCGCCTATATTACACATGGGCAAGCAACTAGTACAGGAAAGAGATGCTGGCTGATAAGACAATAGAAAAATAAGGATGGCAGCTACAATTCAGGAGGCATTGAAAGAACAGGCAAGGAAAGCAGGAAAGACTGATCACCGCCTCCCAGCCTATTAAGAGGTTCTAAATGGCAATAGGCAGAGGAGGGCATTCTGATCATGTGATTGCTGTGATTGGCAGTCACAGCGGTCAAATGACTGGAAACCTCCTGATCACAAGTAGGCATCAGGAGCTTTCCGGTAACTGTTCTGGGAGCACGTAGGGCACACGCTAACAGCACAGAAACGTTTACATTTGGGACATATATCTGCAGCCTCGTGATGTTAAAGCCCACCCGCTGAGAGGCTGAATATATGCATATGGTTGGAGGGAACAGGTTACCCGAACATTCATTTTATTAACCACTTCAATACCGGGCACTTATACCCCCTTCCTGCCCAGGCCAGTTTACAGCGCTGTCGCACTTTGAATGACAATTGTGCGGTCATGCAACACTGGACCTATATGAAATTTTTATCATTTTTTTTACACAAATAGAGATATCTTTTGGTGGTATTTAATCACCACTGAGTTTTTTAATTTTTTGCTAAATAACACCTGAAACTTTAAAAAAAAATGCACTTTTCTTCGTTTCTGTTATACAATTTTGCAAATAAATAACATTTCTTCATAAATTTAGGTCAAAATGTATTTTGCTACATTTCTTTGGTGAAAATAATAATAATATTTGAATTTGTATTTTTTTTTTTTTCAAATGTTTCTATTAAATTTTTATTTTTTATTAAATTTTTTATTTTTTTTACTATTTTATTTTTCAGCACACTGTGACCAAAGCAATACAATGTTACCATTGTAACATTAAACTACTCTGGGCAAGTGATCAGGATTTTTTTAACACATTATGATTGCTAATAAAAAATGTATTTCATTGATATTTGCAATCATTGTTACTGAATGAAACTGATTCATTCAGCCTTTTGTTGTGATTAGCTGTGATTGGGCAAAGCAGATCACATGATACAGTTGGGTTATGATTGGCCCTGTCTGTATCATGTGACTGCCTTGACCAGTCACAGCTAACAACGCAATTGTATACAATGGATGGCATGACATGAAGCCATCCATTGTATACAATTGACATGTGATCTGCTGTGATTGGTCACAGTGGTCACATGACACTTGCCAGGGGCCGGTGTAGTGATATGTCATCGGCTGTGTCCCATGGACACAGCTGGTGACAGATCGCACCGCTGCACGGCCCCGTGAGTGGCTCGTTTTGACAGGACGTCATATAACAACCAGTCACAACAGCGAGTGTCCCACCCGGCCTATAGAAGATTGTGTTCATATTGTGGAAAGGTGTATATTTTAATGACATTGGGGTTGATTTACTAAAACTGGAGAGTGCAAAATCAGGTGCAGCTCTGCATGGGAACAAATCAGCATCTAACTTCAGCTTGTTCAATTAGGCTTTGACAATAAAACCTGGAAGCTGATGGGTTCCTATGCAGAGCTGAACCTGATTTTGCACTCTCCAGTTTTAGTAAATCAACCCCATATTGTTAGCTTTTAGTTCCACGTGAACGTTCTCCCAACACTCCCAAAGGATAACCCCTAAAGTAGTCTCTAACACTTAAAGTGGTTCTAAATGCTCAAGATTTTTTACCTTCAGGAATTCTATGCATGAAGGTACAAAACCTTCTGTGTGCAGCAGTGCCGCAGCCCCCCTAATACTCACCTAAGCCCCCTCTAGATCCAGTGATGTGCAATGGAATCTCGGCGATCCCGGGACTACCTCTTCTCATTGGCTGAAAGAGAAGCGGGAGCCACTGGCTCCCACTGCTGTCAAGCACAGCTAGTGAGCCAATGAGAAGAGAGAGGGGGCAGGGCCTAGTCATAGCCGTGAATGGGCACATGGAGCAGCGGGTGCCCCCATAGCAAACTGCTTGCCAGGAGAGCCTGTGGGGGACCAGAGAAGAGGAGGATCCAGGCTACTCTGTGAAAAACCACTATACACAGCAGGTAAGTATAGACGTGTTTGTTATTTTTTCTTAAAAAAAATAAACCTGTAGAATCACTTTAAAGAGTATAGAAACCCAACATTTCCTATTCCTGTTATGTGCCTTCTGTGCCATGTACTTGTATGAAAAAGTATCCTTTCTCTTTGTATTGCTTGCTTTATGTGAAATCCCTGGTGTTTCTGCCAGTCCCTATGCTTTCCTATTAAAAACTGACCACACTAAGCAGGATAACACATCGTGATCAGTTCTCTAGCTGTGCTGGAACTCAGCCTGCCCTCCTCCAATGATCAGACTTCTTCTGACACACACCCTCTGTACAGTCTTTCACTGTGAAGATTATTGTGATGCTGTTTCTCCTCCCCCAGCTCTTTATGCAGCTGAGAACAGAGAATATGTGATCACTTATAAAAAAAAAAGGGGGGGTATATGTTTTTTATATCTATACACAAATGTTTTGACTTTCATTTCTATTTTAAACTGAATGGGTTGTTTTACAAGGTGAGAGTTTACAATCACTTTAAGTAGCCCCTTCTACTTCATAGTTACCTTTTCCTGCTTAACACACAAGTGTGAATGGGCTGTAAGACCAACAAGAAATCTGATTTGTTTTCATTGAAAGCAACAACTGCTTTATTTCTCAATGCTGACAGTTTTATGAATTGAATAATTCTGGAAACTACACATTACAGACTCACATTCATTATTACTGCCTCTCTGTTTGGCCTCCACATGACCGCAGATCATTTTCCTCTGCTGCACATGGAAATGGAGAGTTTCTGTTTTATAACACTGTACTTTTTGCTGGCAGAGCCATGTGTTTCCACCTCTGTGCACATACAATGCCAAATGATGTGTTATGTACTGTCTGCACTTCTTTCTCTTTACCTCCAGTTTACATATATGCGGTGTGGGAAACTGCTGCAATCCTGAGCATTTTCCGCACCACACTGCGTTCATGCAATCTGTTACCAGTGTCAATTATAAATGAATGACACTCCAAACAGGTTGCAAAACTCATTGTGATTACAAGAATCAGATTGTAATGGGTGTGAACACCATGCAATCCGATTCAGGTGCTGCAAAAAAAAAAAAAGATGTCTCCACCTTTCCGTGTGGGTGCTGTTCAAATTAAGCCCATACAAAATTAATTGGTTCAAATCACACTGCAAAGCATCACATGTGCTCTGAACAGGAATGCGATGCGATTCCTGTCCGAATCCCATATGATTTCCCACACAGCTATAGTGTGAACCTAGTCTGACTCTTCATACATTCAATCTCTTCCCTTAGTTTGCATCTTTATCAGGGAAGGACTGACAACTCATGGGGTCCCCGGGCAATAGGGGATCATGGGGCCCCTGTGTCCTCACCCACACTCAAACCACACCCAAAAAAGCCTATAAAAGGTACTAGGGGCATCTCATGGGGCCCCCTACTGACCCTGGGCCCTCGGGCAGTGCCCGAGTGTACGAATGGTCAGTCCGCCCCTTATCTTCATTCTACTACTGGCTGCTCAGCTACACTTCATTTAAATAATAATGCAGCTATGTCAAATCGCCCTAAAATCAAGGGAGTCCCCCTGAGTTTTATCCCTTGCCAGGGCTGCGATGAGGGGGTACAGCCCATCCAAATGTAGGTTTCCTGAGGGGCCCAGGCCCCGAGTTGACATCTCCCTTTTGTGTTACATTGATAAACAACTAGTCCCGAGTCCCACTGGTGTCACGCGCTCCACTGGCTCCTGAGTCCCAGCGTGCCGCTGACAAAATTATTAGTTGCTAGGACCAGCTGGCGTTCTAGCAACCAATCACATTAATTCACAGGCCCTGGCATAGTAGGATGTAATTTCCTCCTCTTTGCTTCACCGCATGCTAGTTCTGCTCCTCCCGGCTTCCACCTGGAGGCATCCCACTCTGTACATAACGCCATTCTGAGAATGGAAATGGATCTCTGGTGAGGCGGACCCTGGGAGCCCTGACCTAGTGCAGGAGATCGGGGCCTTGGAAGACCAATGCCCGGAGAAGAGGAGAGGCATGCACTGCTGAAGTGGGAACAGCTGTGAGGGCAGAGTGGGGCTTACATATGTGCTCTGACTGTCTCGTTGCTGGGTTGGGCTCTGACTG